TTTTGCGTTAGATACAATTCCTCGCTAATTTCCGACTACGAAGTCACCTCAAGGCGGTTTTATCAATCTACTTCAAAACGGTTCCCCTATCCAACAAACACCATTTTTCCAACAACAATATCAACATTTTCCGTCTTTCCAACAACAACAAATGCAACAACAATACCAACAATTTCAACAATTCCAACAACTACAACAACAATCATCACAACAACAACAACCACCAATTTCACAACCACCAAGCTCACAACCACCACTTTCGCCCGATTTTGTTGCGGAAACGCAACCTTCACCACCACCTCAACCAAAAAAGAAAAAAGAAAAAAAAAAAAAACGGTCCGACCCACTACCACCCAAGAAAGGGTCCTATGGACAAAATAAGAAGAAGAAAAGTTAGCGGAGGCATGGTGGCGGCTTCTGAAGATCCAATTGTAGGAGATAATCAGCCTTACGAAAGTTTTTGGGAAAAAGTTCGAGCCATTTTTTACGAGTTAATGAAAAGTGAAACTCGAAATGCCGATCAAATTACGTCGAAATGGCTAGATATTCGACTAAAATTCACCGAGTTTGGAGGAATCTACAACAACCTCCTAAACATACGCAAAAACGGCTCGAACGATTTTGATGTTTTCAAGGCGTCCATGGACCAATTTGAAAAAACAACGCCAACACGCAAAGTTTTTCCGTATATGAAATTGTGGCTAAAATTGAAAGACGCCCCAAAATGGAAAGAGCAAATGGAAGGAACTTCGCAATCTTCCGGTTCAAAGCGTTCGAGAAATCCCGATGCAACTTCTCAACAATCGGACGGCCGAACACACATCGAAATCAACGACGATCCGATAGATGTTGAAAACGACCAACCTCTTCGTCGGCCCGTTGGAAGAAATAAAGCAAAAAAAGCGGCGTTAACATCTTCGAATTCTAGTGTTATGGATATGTTTGGCGATAAATTTGATTGATATATGCAACTTTAAGAAACGAAAACCGAGGTGATAACTCGGATGGAACAAAAAATGATCGAAGCACAATCATCATTTCAAAAGGCAGAAGAGACACTCCAAACAAAAACCGATATGAAAATCTTGAAAATGAAAGCGGACGATCTCGAGGGCGAAAACTTGAAACTTTTCCAAGCGATGAAAGAGTCGGTTCGAGCCCGATGTAGGCGTCAGGGTAGTTTATTTTATTTACGGTTGGAATTTTTAATTTTTTTTAATGTTTTTTAATTTTAACTAATGTAATTTTTATTTTTATTGTTAGTTTTATTTATTTATTTATTTATTTTTAATTTTAATTAATGTAGTTTTTATTTAATGTAATTTGGTATTTTAATTTAATGGAAAAACTAGTATTAAAAAAATGATTTTAATGTATTTTTAAATTAAATTTAAATAAAAAAATGAGGTGGAGTAATATGTTAGTAATAGGTATCTCATGCTAATGTAGCACCCACCACATATGTGGTATGTGGTGCTGATGTAGCACCCACCACATATGTGGTATGTGGTGGGTATAACGGATGATCTTAATACAATGCGTTTCACCATCGTACAATACATATATTAATATATATTTGAAGTTACCTTCCTGCAGAAAAAACATCTATATATATATATATATATATTATATATATATATATATTATATATATATATATATATATATATATCAAGGTTCTAAAAAGCTCGTTAGGGCGCGCCATGACTCCAAGGCTTGTATGTGCCGCCAAGCTTTACCAAAACGCCGCATTATCTTATATATGTGTATAAAAATAAATAATAGTTGAAAATGCATATAAAAATATGAATTATATACAAACTTGTCGCTTTAAGTCGCGTCTTACAAAAGACGTGGCTCGCCAAGGCTCGGAAAAACTTGAGACTTGATATTGCCGCCAAGTCACGCCTTACGTTTTTTAGAACATTGATATATATATATATATATATATATATATATATATATATATATATATATATATATATATATATATATATATATATAATGCTGGTTTATGGTGATGGTGAAAGCAGGTGATGATGGTACTGTTCGATGACGATGAGGAGCTGTGATGATGACGGTTCTAACCGGTTCCCACTAAACCGGTCCTAAACCGGTTCCAACATCTATCATCTCGAACCTGTCCAAACTGGTGGTTCGGTTCTCGAACCGAATCGGTTCACGTCGAACCAGTTTACCGGTTTATAAGGCGGTTCGATCCACGAACCAGTTTTTTTTTGCACCACTAGTCTGATCCAAGCGTTCGGCCCACGTAGAATATTGTTCTACCAATAACAAGCCTATACTCTATCTCTATATATACTCTATACTCCATAACTCTATAGACAAGTGCGTAATTCTTTAGATGACATTATCCTATTTTAATGACAATTTGGTCATTCAATATTTGGTTTCTTCCTCCCCTAATCTCATATCAGTAACAGTGTCTCAAACTGCAATAATCAACGTAAGGGCAAGTTGGTCATCAAACGGAATCTCACGACAAAGAGCAACTTTTACACAAGGACTTGTTACAAATACAACACATACTATTTTCATTCTCATTCATAACCAGCACCACATAATATATATATTATGAAAAACAACATCAAACACATCACAACCAACATACACTTTTACATATTTCATCTTACTACAAATCTCAAGACATCTTCAAACAATACAACACATCTATTCAATCTCCTTGATTCCAGTCAAATAAACCCGACACTGAATCACACTCCCACCAATCCCAAACCCGGGCATCACCATCAACCCAACTTTCGGCTTCTCACCAGTTTCATCCACCACAAAATTCTTCACCACACTTTCCATATAAACCTCTGAAAACTCACTCCCTTTACTCACCTGATACACCTTTATCACAGGCTCAAACGAATGACTCAACAAATGCAAAACCCAAATCGCTTTCGCCAGTTTCAAAAACGCCTGATAAAACGGCGTCCTCGGATGCCCTCCTCCCATTATATAATTCCTATGATCCAAATTCCCGAAAAAAGACGCTTCCATTTTCGGATGCACCACAATTACGTATTTACCCCTGCAAAACTTCCCGAATTCCGAATCCGGGTCTTGCCCCACCGAATCAAGCGGATCCGTGTCACGTAACGCAAGATACTCTCGAAAGAACGTCTCTTTGTCTTTGTTTTCATTGTTTAAACCGAAATTTTCTTGTTGAAAACCGGTGAACATTTTTTGACAAATATGGTATTCAAACGCGTATTTCTTGTGGGCCCGTTTCGCGTATTTAACATCCGGTTCGATCGAATTCGCAGCAGCATCAAGGTCCCACCCCGCAGCCTTCATCATGTTGATTAACGGTTTTGAAAAATCATGAATTGCCTTAGAAGCAAGTTCAACAGCCGACTTAAAAAGCTCGGGAGACAAAACGGGAATATTTTCATTTCCGTCGACCGATCCCCCCTCGGAATCTTTCGAAGATGACGAAAGCCCCCTCAGCTTTAGATTCTTTTCAAGTTTAGCCCTTTTGAGAGTGGCATCTTGGATATGTTGTTGTAATTGTACAATCTCGGAATCTTTGTTGTGGATTTCGGATTGGAATTTTTTCACCATGACTTCATATGTTTTTAAGAGGCTTTGTTGTTCTTGAATCTCTGCAGCCAAACGGGAGTCTTGTGGGGAAATGTAAGTGGGTCTGGGGTTGTTTTCGCGATAAAAGTGTTTGAGTTCTGAGAGATTTTTGAGTTCTGAAATTACGAGTTTGTCTGCAGCTTGGATTTTGTCAGGGTCGTATGGGGTGTGAGCAGCTTGAAGGCGGATGTAAGCAGATTTTAAGGATGAAATGTTTGTGAATATTTTTGAGACTAAAGCTTCAACAGCTTCAGGGTTTTGGTTTGCAGTTTCTTCCATAGGTTGAGGGTGGACCTTCGGGTTACTGCTGTCACGGATTTGGGAGTCTTTTGCTCCACCAAGTTGCATAGTTACTTCCTATGGAAGGGATTGTATGTGGGTCCCCCACCCAATCGCCTAAAAGATGATAATCATTAACATAAATAAATATAAAGTAACACTAACACCCCAAAGAAGTAGGAATAAAGTAGCTATCTATTTATACCTGCAAAATCAAGAAACTGGTAAATGGCAGTTGGATTCCCCCAGCAACCATAATAGTTTCAACCTACAAAAGTGCTTTTGGTCACATTAAGACATTGAACTGACTGAAGATATTAGTGTCAGTCAGAATTAAAGTCATTTATGTGGGTTGAAACTTGAAAAGAAATTCTTCCATTTTAATCTATTCTAACCAATGTAATTCAATATAACTTCCTTTGTTTCTAAACTAACATGGCCTTTTTAACCTTGGTGAAAGTCGACTGCTTTTCAACTTCAAAATTCACCTAGTATTGCAAATTGAGGATGAAATACATACATCAAAGTTAACAGAGTACATGAAAATGTGAAGACAAGCCCAGTTCCTAATTAAAAAAATGAATTCAGCATCTTCTTTAGGAACAGAGTAGCAACTTTGGACGCCACATCATGTCAACATAGACAGTAGAACCTTCAAGTTTTGCATCAAAACCACTAACCCAAAACCCCAGCACATCTATGTCACAATGTGGGAGGTTGCAAGATCATGCATGAAAAAGAAATATGACTAAGAGCCTATAATAGCTTAGACAAAATGTCAGTAACTTCTTTAAATTGAACACCTTTCCTCAATGTTTGGAAATTACCAAACAGGTGGATTCTGGGAAGAAACAGAAGATGAAGTGATGAACTTTCAAATTGCAATGTGAAAATGTAGTTGTCTTTCTCGTTTTAATGCCAATTTCTTTTAGATTCAATCTCTGAACTAGGTTAACCGTTTAATGCAGTGTAATTGTTTTTTAAAGTTCAAACTTCTTATCTTTTTTTCTAATTACTTAAGTAGTATAACTTGTAGCGAAAACTCCTAGATCCACCTCCGATCCCAAACACGAGACTAGATTCATATAATTACCACTAGTTGTCAACTAATCACTGATGATGCTCTCAATGCAATTTACGACTATACAAGTTTTCACCACTCTAGAGCTAATCAAAAGTATCAATTTCGAATTCTATTCTAAAGTACCGACACCAAAAGGTAACACAGCAAAGAAAGTGCTAATTTTGTTGTAGTAAAGAGAATAAAGCCCAGGTAGATCGGAAAATACCTAATCGGAGACTTCGCCGGATATCTGCCGGAGAGATGATGAGTACATGCCTGTGTTCTGCCGATTATAGTACGTTCTAGATATAGGAAGATGGAGAAGAATACGAGATTTGAGGTTGATTGAAATGGATGGAACCCTAGGAGAGAGAAGAATCATTGTTGCTTTATATTAAATTCATATATATTTTTTTTAAATCTATTTTACAATCGATTGGGCTTTTCCTATTCGGCCTATCTCAATCAACTGGTTTAAACTTTTAATCCAACCCATTTAAAATTATATTGACCTATTTTCAAATTTTGGAAGTATTTATTTTAATCGTAAATTTAAAGTTTAAGATCTACGTTTTTTATTATGTGTCACTTATATTATATGCAAGCCTCTTTCTTTCTATGTAATAGAATATTATTGTATTTAATTGAACTTAAAATTGTATTTTATTGATTTCATATAGTTGTTCCAATTTGTTCTTCCAAAACATTAGAAAATGACTTGCCAAATTTTAAACTTGCAATCCAACTTTGTTTTTTCGTTAAACACAAAATGTAACATCCACATTTTGTTGAAATTAAGATACCTTGTGTTTTTGTGGTTTAAATGAATCGAATTTATTTACATGTAAGAGTATTAATGGTTTTGAAATTCGATTAATATATTAAACAAAATTTATTGTTTGTGGACCCTAGCAAATAATAAAATGAAATATATGAATTACTTGGACTATAAAATTATAAAAAAACCTCCAACTGGTGGTAGTTTTGTATGGTCCCCATAAAAAAATTAAAAAAATAAAAATAAAAATAGTAGGGAACCAAAAAAGCATAGAAAATTTTTATTTTACGTACTCCGAACTTATTCATATTTTTATGAAATCAATTTTTAAAAGAACAATTTTTTGAAGTTCTTTTTGCGGTGATGATATTCAGAGACATTTTCTCAAAAAAAGAAAAATAATCAAGATTCGGATTGAAGAAAAACGTAGTCTTAGGTTGAGAGTTTTTACAAGAAAAATTAATGTAAAATGAAAAAGAAAATCATTAAATATCAGTTCATTTTGTAAGGGCCATTACGAAATGTTGTTGATTTTTTGTGGGTTTTGTTGTGCCTTTTCAATATTTCACAGTGCACAACGAAATTGATGGTTGGTAGGGGAATATTCTTAATTGTTGTCTAGTTCTTGTAATAAAAAAAAAAAAAAAAAAAAAAAAAAAAAAAAAAAAAAAAAAAACCTTAATAACAATGCTTATTTTTGTTATTTTCTCTTATATTGGGATCTAAAAATAAGTAAATTAAACTATTATACAATAAAGTTGATCGATTGGATTTACATCAATAGACTGGATTGTTAAACCTGAATGTATAGAATATGATTATAGAATGAAGGTTGAATACAATCTTAAAATTTTGAAAATAACTTGTGAAAGAGACAAGTTAGCATAAGGAAAAATGGAGGTCAATGTTTATTCAAAATAAAAAAGTTTGTTATATCCACATCGACCGAAAGTACTGTAAGTTGGTGGCTTATAAGTCTAGGTGTCCCATTCTTTTTCAAGTTAGCTTTTGGGATTAAACCTACCAAAATTTTAATATTGTATTCGACCTTCATTTTATATATAAAAGGTTAGGCGCACCTATTATGGGGCCAGGAGGGGTTGTGGCCCCCTAAATTTTGGGCTAGAAATAGAGTACGGATGCTTAATTTTTAGAGTTATATGCCCAACAATGTAAGTCTTGGGTTCTGGCCCCTCATGATCAACTGTTCGTTTGCCAAGAAGTTGTACTCTAAAGATAGAGAAGTAATCGTTCCATCAACCATCGTTTAATATGTAAAGCTTCCGCCCCAATCCCTCAAACCCCATCCTCAATTCTTCGATAATCGCAAGTCGCTAATCCTTAAATTGAAGCTGCCGACTCCAGCGCTCCGCCATTCACCACCATCACCCTGTTGCATTGTTGCTGCCTGCTGTTGTTCAACAGTTCTGCGCAGCTGCAATTCTGATGTTCGCCTGTTCTTTCATGTTTCACAACACATAAGTGAAGAAAATCACGTAATCAGATATGCTTTCACTTCGGTCTTCGGTTGTTGTTCTTACCTGTTTCGTATTCTCTCTTTTCTAATTTCTATTATTGTACTTGTTTGACTGTTGGATACTTGGAATTAGAAAGTTGGAATTATTGTTAGAATTTTAGGAATCAAGTAATTACACATTGTTAAATATTCTCTTCTTGCCTTCTTGGTTCAACTAATTAGTGATGAAAGATGAACATTGCTTATTTGTTTATGTTAATCTAATATGTGATATAAGTTAAATGACTGAATAGCTGATTAATTTGATTTTGAATGTATTGTTTTTTTATTTTGATTTTTTATAGATAAAATCATGGGAAATATGAAAATCATTCATTCTTTCTTCAAAAGAAAGGTTGATGATGAAGAAATTCATGATGAAAATCAAGAGATTAAACGTTAATTCTAGTTTATAATACTTTCGGCCCCAAATAAATTGTTCAAGCTCCGCCTATGGTTGATAAGTTCGTATTATATCAACCTTTTGTAGAAAGTACTTTCATTTTTTTTTGAAAAAAATATTTACAATAAAATCAACAGTAAACACACAAACGCTTTCTATTGAAAGTTGCAATTAAGTCCCAATATTTTTATTCATTTAATGCAAGTCCGTATACCAACTACTCCAAGGAACTTGTTACAAGATTCGAGACTTAGACTTCACTAGCCGATATATTAATACGACTAGATATCTTCACTGATGGTAAGAATACAACACAAATAATTCAGATACTTGAATAATTTCATACAACTCATTTTTCAATACAAACTCAAGGATTTGATTTCCAAAATTTAAATTTTGTATTTTAGTTTTCTAATATATATATATATATATAAAACATTCCCCTTGGTGCCCACCTCGACAATTAATCCATTTGTTGTTTCTTTCAACTTTCCTTAAAAAATATCACCAAACACTCCACTTTCCTAATTCTTTTTAATTGCGCCAATAACTTACGCAGACACACACCCCAATACACTCACACACATGTAAAAACACCATCTTCATATCAGATAATCAATCCTCAATTTTCTTTTTTCCAAAATTTCACCTGTATACCCGCCCGCTGCTGTTCTGAATCTCAGTTTCTCTCTAGATAACGCTTTAATCTATTGGTAACGCCTTTATCCTTTCAGTTTTTCCCATAGTTTTCGTTAGATTTACGTCTGCTCTGTTTTTTTTTTCTCGTATGTGTTGATCTATTTCTTTCTTTTGGTGGAATTGAATTAACTTTCACGAGTTGAAATTCTTTGAGATGAGACAGAACTGTACCTTTGAAACCGATTCATATGTATATCAGTAACATCGATTTTTTTTCGTGACGAGATATACGTAATACGTTCATGTTTGAATTGCGTGTAATTGTTTTTGTAGTGTATATGATCCAGTTAAACTCTTTATCCGTTTTGAAAGTTTAAGGGAAATTTTGTCCATAATTTTGATGTGGTGATTCTTAATCAGTAAATAGTTGAGATTACTTGTTCAATCGGTGAATTTGCTCAACATCTGAATGGAACATTTTGGGGGAAAATATTTGTTTGCCAAAACGACCTGACCAGTTCAACCGTATGTTAGATAGTAACAGCAAAACTGCAAATTCACCCTTTTTCTTACCAAAATTGGTTAAAAATTGAGATACAATGGCTAACTAAGTGAGATCGCAATAGCATAGTTCCAGCTTAAAAACATTTTACTTAAATTGTTCTCTCTT